GAAATAAACAGTGAATACATATATCATCTCATTTAAGCCCCGCAGCCGCCCGAGGAAGTCAGTAACATGACCCCCCGCCCTCTCACAGATGAGGAAACCGAGGCTGGGTGCCCAGGACTACACGGCTCAGGGGCATCAGCAACTCACTCTGTGCGTCTGTACAAAGAGGCAGGAAAATGCCCAAGCAGAAACCCCAAAACGTTTCTTCAGCTCCCCATCAGGGTGTAAGGTAATTTTTAATGCATCGTTCCAAGGGGGGTGTAACCCGCTCTCCCTTCAGGAGGGGCCCTGCAGATGGGGCGGCTTCGTTCCTCGCACATGCGCACCTCCCCGGCGCGCACACACATGCACACGCGCACACACACACACGTGGGCACACACACACACACCCACACGGGCACACGCACACCCACCGGCGCGTGGAGACACAAAAACCCTCCTGGGAACGCGGGGCCGGTTTTGAGGCGAATGGAGCCTTTCCCAAGGCTGAATCCTCAGGCGACCCTCCCACGTGGGTGGGAGGGTGACAGATCCCAGCCAGGAGACGGGCTCTGGCCTACACTGTGCAGATGTATATTTTTCTCCCTACCGGTGCCTTTCCATGGATACATTTTTTAAAGCCAAAAACTCCTACTGATAGTGCAAAAAATGAGTCACAGACCCGGGAGGGCGACAGACAGACAGACGGACAGGGAGCCAGCGCCTGCGAGTGAGGGCCACTGGCAAGGAAACCTGACAATCCCGCGCCCCTCCCCCCATGCCAAGACATTAATTCTCACAAGTCGGAGAAAATTACTATGCATGAATGCAAAAAGCATGATCAGGAGTAATTAACATGGCTTCATATGCAAATTTTATTAATGCAGAAGTACAAAGTCATTATGCAAATGAAACTTACGTCAACTCTCTTGACAAATATTCATCGCTGAGGCTCAAGTTTCTCCCTCTTCATTTATTTATTTATTTATTTTTCCTCTCTCCCCCCCCCCTTTTTTTTTCCTGGGTTTTTTTTGTTTTTGTTTTTGGTTTTTTTTAGGGGCCCAGGTAGTGCTGCTGGCCGCTTTGGCAGCAGCAAGCCACAAGGACTGTGTGACAAGTTTGCAGTTGCTTTTCAACCAGAGAAATTTATTCTTGCATTGTTGATTTTTTTTTTTTTTTTTTTTTTTTTATTTTTTTTTTTTTTTGGTCGTTGGCAGGTAAGAGACAGCTCATAGGAGAAGGGAAAAAATAAAAAAATAAAAAAGCTCTGGGCAGCCGGCAGCCAATCAAAACGCCAGAGCCTGTAATGAGGGCGATTGATGGCTGTTTGGCTTTTACTGCAGGGTAATGAGGAGGGGGAAAAATATGAATATTCATGAGGCTGTGCTCCTGCCTTTGATGATTAAAGAAATTTTTAATATTCAAATAAGCGCTTGCCAAGTGATTAACAAAGAACATGCACGCAGAAATATGGAAATGGGAGCCGGGGAAGATGCGAGAGTGGAACAGGCTGCAGGAAAGGCAGCCTCAAATTTCATAAACAAGATAGGCAGATAACCCAGTTAGCACGCGGGCAAATAAAAACATTTCTTTCGGATCGCT